ATATTGGGGAAAGATTGCTAACTCCTTTCAGACTCTCACAAGACTTAATCCTCCCAAGCGTGAGCAAAGCCAGCCAGCTTCACAGTGTAGGCATATCATTCTTGCACCCAATACCAAGACTAACAAATAACAGTAAATCAGAGTAGGTCATACCAGGTCAAGCAGCATATTTCCAACAAGCGCAAGCGCACAGGTCTTGACACCATCCCCGAAGATACAAAGAGCAGGATATTCGACACCATTCCAAGCGACATCAAAGTCAATCTCTTCAACAGTATCGTGGAAGCCGCCATTCCAAACTTTGACAACGTGATGATGGCATCCTGGAATGTCGTATCCATCTACTCCGCCTGCGGGAGCGACTTCCCCGACCTCCACCGGTCAATTGTTACCTTGAAGAGCGTACTCCAGGATTTCGACGAACCATTCGGTAAACGCGTTGATAGAGAGACCCCGAAGTACCGGCACGGTTTCTGCGGTCGTACACAGGGTGACGAAAATGGAGGTGGTGATGGGGACTGCACACCGGACAAGCATAGACACGACGGTAGAACTCGCTCCATCTCACACGCCCCTGTCAACAATGAGAACGCTGGAGGAATAGTACATCAGCCAGAGAGTCTAAATGTTGATCAGAACATCCCTAAGCAGAAAGACATCGCCGCACCAAACGACGGCACTGAGCAAACCAGTGATGAAGAAAAACCAAACATATCATCCCCCTTCCAACCACCCCGCCCTGCAAATTTGTCAGATAGAGAAGCACGAGAAATCACCCAAGACGCAACACAAACTTCTCACATGAATCCTCATCCTGTTTCCACACCAGTCCCATTCAGCCCCAAGTTCCCATCCAGAAAATGCATCAACACCCGTTTTGCCACACCTAACATCAGACTTCAGAATTTTGGCACGCCAGTATATTCCCGCGAGGACTTGAATAGCAGAGTTTCTCTGCCTGTGAACCATTCAGCTCGTTCCACGCCTGCGCATAGACAGAGCACATTGGGTACGGCGCCTGTGGCGAATATGGTGCCGAATGGGCAGAAGAAGAAGGATGAGAGGGATGAGAGGGATGCGAGGGGCGAATAGTAGATTGCTTACTCTAGTATCTTCGAAAATGGGGGAAGTGAGTGTGGATTTTGGAAAGAATGCAGAGTCTGTAGTTGCAGTACGGTGAAATGTACTCACACATCACCAAGCATTCTCGAATCAAGAAAAAGGGAATCAGTAGGCACGTGAAATTTGTAGTAGCTACATAGTTCAAATGCGGAAAATAATGTAATTTGCTATTTCCATCTACAATGCATTACAGACAATGTCGTTTGCTCGTCCACGCATGCAGCCCAGCGCTGTACACAAAAGGCCGCGGTTCAGGACTTTTTTTTTCAACAAGAGTACGGAGAAAAAGAAAAGAAAAGAAAGAAAGAGATGTCGGTGTATCATCACTCGTTGAAGCCAAGAAGAAGCAAGAGAAAAAGAAAAACGCCTACTCCATGCAAGATCGGCCCAACGGCTCGCATTGGGAAAAAGCAAAACAGAAAAAAGAAGGTCGCTCATTCAAATTCCAGGCCAACTCCCCACTCAAGGTTCTGGGAGACAATCACTTACTTACTCCGTTACTCCCCTCCCCTCTTCTCCCCGTAGTTTACTCACCCACCCCGACTCTCCTCACCCCCCTCATCATACTGACTATGCGCCCTCCTCAACGGACTCCTCTTCTTCTTTTTCCCCGCCCCACCACCGGCCCGCTCTCTACCCTTTGACTGAAGATGCTGCGATGACGGAGATGAAACCGGCGAAAGCGGTTCCTGATTCTGTTCTTCGGCTTTGAGCAAGTCCATTGCGCGATCGACCTCTTCCCACGAGGGGCGACTATCACGGGTTCCGTTGGGGGTAGCGGGACCGGATTGCGTGGCTAGGACTTGGATGCGGGCGGCTTGGTCTTCGGACATGGGGGTTGGGGGCATGTGATCGGGATTGTGGTCGCGGACGGGTGTGGATTGTAGGCTGTCGAGGCGGGGGGAGAGGCTGCTGCCACGGCGGTGGGCGATGGGCGTGTCGGGGATGGGAGAACTGCATTCGGCTTGGATGGGGCTGCGTAGGCCGTCGGTCTCGGCGTCGCTGTGGTGGTCGCTGAGGCCGGCAGAGGTGTCACTCTTCCACATTTTGCGGAAGGTGCTGCGGCGCCGCGCCATGCCTGCTGTGTTGGGTGTGTTGCGTGTTGGCGATGTCTCGAAGAAGCTTGTGTACTTGTTGCCCAGCTGGTGCACAATCGGGACATCTGCACTGGATCCTAGCGTGCCGGACCGTACAAAAAGCACTAAACCAAGGCACAAGAGCAATAATGTGGATTGTACCACAGCCATTCTCTTTTGCCAAACGAGCTCGTCCGCCAGCAAACTCAGCCTCGTGCCAATCTCGCCCATCTCAGACTTTTGTCGCTCCTTCATACTCTCCAGCTCAATCACTGTGCTCTGCCACAACTGATCATACATGTTGCGGAAACTCTTGAGCTCTATCATCACTGTGCTATTCAGGTGATCCAGGAACTTTTCAGTCTTTGCCAGCTGCCGCTTCTCTACTTTCATAAACGCGTCCCGAAGCGCGCGAGACTGCTCCTCAATGTACTGCAGTGAGAGCGTGCTGTTTGCCTCGAGATACTGAAGGCGCTTATGTATCGACTTGAAAAACGACTCTTGAGTGGATGGCGTAGGAGCATTGGGCTGGGTAGCCGAGCCCCGCCCTTGCGACTGCGCCTGTGGAGGAACAACTGTGCCATCACTAGAAACTTTGGCTAATGAACTGCTTGAAGATCCTGACGCTATCGATTCGGTTGAGGAAGTCGTGGGATTGTCATTGGGTGGTGCAGAAGGCGAGGTGACCGCCACGGAATCGGCTGTGGAGCCGTGGACTGGGGATGAAGTCTCGGCCTTGTCCGTTGTCGAAGTTACAGTGGGGGCATTATTTTCTCCAGAAGCTGTTATATTCAAGTCTCTCAAGTTATCCGTAGGGGTTGGCGAGGATGCCGAGCTTTGTTCTGAGGCCTGTTGATTCTGGGGTACATCAGTCATCTGACCACCTGATTGCTCATTTGCAACTGTAGACGAGCCATATGCCTCAGAGGACGGGCTGGGAGGGTCCGGTTCCGTATAAGGTTCGGGAGTACTCTGATGACTGGTTGTATCGACGACCTGTGACGCTGCGAAGCTCGCACCATCGTCCTTGAGAGCCTCGATGGGTATATCCTCTGGAGGCAACGGCCCGCTGTCCGCCGCCGGTTTCTTGACTTCAATACCATCAGCCTCCAGATCATCGTCATCATCAATTCCTCTCGCCTCTTCCTCTTCTTGTCTGAATTGCTCCAACATTGTAGTGCCATGCACACGTAGTAAGCTAAGTGGACAATAGTATTCATTTCCGTACTGCGTCAAAAATTCGACGCGAAGATATCTGGCCCAAATCTGTGGCTCGGTGATGAGAAACGGCTGAATGTCGCGAGAGTTGCGTGCTTCAAACGTCCCCAGAGTCCGCCACTTTTCCATCTTGACAGGATAACGGTCCGACACGCTGACTCTAAAGTGTCGGAACATGGACGAAAAAAACTCATAGTTGGCGAGAACGACAGTATCGACCAGGATGTCGTCGCACAACTCAACTATAAGGAATTTGTTGTCGGCCGAGCATATGTTCAGCATATAGCTGTCCTTGTTTTCGACCAAAATCGAAGAGGAGCTTTTTGCCTGCTTGTTAGCTTTGAGAACAGTGGCAGCGCAGTCAAAGGAGGCGTAGTTGAATCGCTCCTTGCACGTCTTGCCAGCGTCTTTGCTCAGCGCCCACGAACCTGGAGCCACTTTGCCGTCGCCATTCGCAGCCTTCGTAGCCTCCGCATTGTGCCTGGCTTGCTGAAGACCATTTGCCACGCCCCCCTCTTCTGGGCGTCCAAATCCGCTAAAATCAATCGAGATTTCGCCCTCATCGCCAAACGAGTCCAGGGCATTGACATTGACGGGTCGCCGACGAGGAGCTTGATTTGATGCTGCCGGCCTTCCCTGCCCGACATTCTCAGGCGACTGGCCCGCCTTGGCCAGATTCTTCTTCTTCCACTCCTCAAACGACAAAAAGTTTGCATTATCAAAAGGCGAGTCTACCTCGAGCTCTAGCTCCGGCTGCGTGCCTTCGGTACCACTGCTTGCTGTACTTGGCGCGGCGCCAGTCACGTCTGGTTGTGATGATGCGTCCGAGTTGGCGTTCTTTCTCTCCTCGTTTGCGATGCCCTCAGACCCCACCCATATTCCAGGGGCTGGAGTTTGCAGGCCTGCGATGGCCGCCCCTTCAACGCCTGTACCGTTCACAGTGGCCGTCTCTCCTGGCGCCGACCAGCTCGTCTTTGCGCATTGCTGCGGTAGCGTGTGTGTAATGTAGTTGATGGTGCGGTACGGAGAGGTGCTCTCGCTATCGGAGTATCTTCGTGCGGACAGTGGCGAAGGCGAGGGCAAAGGCAAAGGCAACGAAGTGGCTTGCGATGTATGGTGTGTCGTGGCACCTGAATATGCACCAGCAGCGCTTTGTTCAGCAGTCGTCGTCTCATTCGCCGCCGTCTCAGCGAGTACCGATGTGGATGTACTGCATAGCAGCAAAAGGATGGTCCAATTATGGAGCGAGGCGCCGGTCGTGAGCATTGCTTGGGTGCATGTCTTGCGCAAGCAGGTTACAGTGCCAGGTGGCAGAGGGAGGCCTGGGGTAGTTTCAGGTGGCCTGTCCGATATTAGAGATAGATGACATGGGGTACCGCCCAAGTTTCTGGGGGGGGGCAAGTGCAGCCACGGAGGAATACGCGGCGTGAACAGGCGTTCGTGTCTGACACGTGTGGCTGTTTCACCGCTTCCATGGGTGAATTGCTTCAGCACAGCGCAATGTTTAGCGAAGCCAATGACGCTGCCAAGAGCACGACATGAAGGCTTAATATAGCAACTACAACTCTTGCCATCTATCTTGTCATGTGGATTTCGCATCAGATGCATGCATGTACGATTATTGTTTTTGTGTTCTTATACTTCAATCATAAATCCCAAGAGCTTGAGGGCTTTGCCGTGTCACATACAGTACTGAGCCCATTTCCCAACCAAGACCAAAACAAAGGAGAGACATGCAAAGACTCAACCAGAGTGTCGTAGCGTGGCACGCGACACGCTCATGTACAAGATTGCGTGCTGTTCGTATAATCATTCCATCAAGGTTGCCGTCCTACACGTGATCTACGAGCAGGTTATCAACCAAGTCCGATTACCAGTCGTCGAGTCTATGCCCAATCATCCAACCGCCCAGCCAAAAGACATACCAGCCGCCAGCTTGGTCAGGACAGCCCATTGCTCCTCGCCTTCATGCGCCATCGTCTAGTACTCATGTGTATCGTTATGGTGATCCGTGTTGTTGCTGAAAGAAAACGCCATACGAGAGTGCAACAAGTGCCGATGCCCAAACGGTTTCGCTATACTATGGGACCAAGCGTAAAAGGGGTATGTCAAAAAAAAGAAATCCAAGACGAGTAAGAAATGAAGGCAAACATCCAGTGGAAATGGCTGAAGATGAGGAGGTGTTAAAAGAGCCGCGGGAAAAGGCTAAAGAATGAGAAGGGCCAGCCTAGGTGGAGTTGGTTTAGAAGCCTTCGTTGCCTGCGCGGCAGACTTTAGCCTCAGAAACCCACTCCGAAGCAAGGACTTGGTGCGCCGTCAAACGACGGGCGGGTATAGGATCGAGAATTGAGTAGATGACGTTACGACATTGTCGCTAGATGTGTGTTAGCAGCTATTTCTCGTAGCGGTTTGTAAAGAATCATGACTCACTCTTCGCAAAACCTCAATAGGTCGGTATCCCTCCTCCTGTTTTCGATCCTCGAGGTAGCGGTCGAAGAACTCGTCCTCGCCCTTTTGAGCAACACGCCACAGGTGGCGGCCCGTCCTCATGGCCATGTAGATGATACCACAGGCCCACACGTCGACAGCACGGGGATCAAATTCCTTGTCAACGTATTCTTCAGGTGCAATGTAAGGAGCTGAGCCACACAGGCCAGCAGTCATGTGGGCTTCCTTTTCCCAAGCCATACGGAAGCACTCGCCGTTACCAAAGTCGGTAATTTTGATGGAACCGTGGGTTGTCAAGAGTAGATTTTCGGGTTTTAAATCACGATGTGCAACACCCATCTCATGCATGTACTCTACACCGCGCATCAGCTGCTTGAAGAAGCAGTCTGCCTCGGCAACTTCGAGCTGGCCAGCGGCGAGGACCAGGGTATACAAATCACCACCAGAGCAATACTCCATGACTTCACAGTATGTGCCCTTTTCGTCCTGGAGCAGGTCGAGCGTGGTGATGACGTTGGGATGTTGCATGGAGGAGGATATACAAAATTCAGATGTCAGGCGCTTTTGATATCGCTTGGCAGACTCGCCAGGCCTTTGCTTGAACTCCTTGACGGCATATAGTTGTTCTCGTTTTGAGTCCTTGGGATCCTGCTTGTGTGCGACACGAACAATACCAAAGGCTCCGCGGCCAACAACTTCTTGGCACTTGCCGTACTTTTGGACCAACGTCTGGGGGAGGGCGTTGACAGCATTCTTCTGCTCTGCAAGCTTTTCCTTTTCGTTGCGCATAACATCGACCCAGTTGGACATGAGACTCAGCGGCTGGTCCTCTGGAGCCTCGCCCTTCTTCTTGCCCAACATCAAGTTCTGGAACATGTCTGAGAGTTTCTCCTGGCGCTTGGCAACCTTGAGGTGGTGTTCGTGGGAGCCGTCTTCGTTGAGCCAGAAGCGCTTGTAGGGCGCCGTGGGGCCATCCTTTCTGTTGACGGAGCCCTGGCGCACTGGCGGGGGACGGCCGTTGGCAGTCGCGCCATTTGTGGCTTTGACGTCGCCGTTCTTGTCGGCATTGGTAGAACTCTTGATACCCATCATGCTGCTGATGCGCGACGTCATGGTGGGCTTCTTGGGTTTGAGCAGCGCTTCGGCGGCAGCTTGCACACTACTTGCGCCGGAGTGGCTCACAGTGGGAGTAGGACTCGATGGAGTAGGACTCGATGGAGCGACAGGGCTAACGGCCTGTGGAAGAGCCAGAAGTGTGTCTGGTTGGGAGTGGACCGACGATGCAGTCGAGGCCGAGGCCGGGGGAGAGCCGACGGGTTTGGCTGTCGCGGCAGGCGGGCTGGTGGTGGTTGGGGCCGCCATGGTGGTACCTCTTTGTCTGGTGTAGGCGAGGAATGCGCGACACGGCTTCGAGGTAAAGGGTGGGGGGGGCAGGTGGGAGCTCACTGGCAGCAGCGGCGGTGGCAGGAGTGGTAGTGGGTAGTGGAAATAGTAGCAGTAGAAGCAGTAGCGGCAGCAGAGGTTTGGAGACGCAGGTGTCTCGCGGGCAAGAAGCCCAGGGTGAGTTATTGCACGGCGGTCAAAACGGCGTATCTTCGTCGACGGTGGGTGGTGGAGACAAGGTTCGGCAGGTGCGCGTGAGGGGTCTGGAGGCGCAAAAACAGGGTGGCGGCGTGGTCGGGTGGATGGAGTGGGCGTGTGAATAAAAGTAGTCTACGTATGAAGCAAGGCGATGATCAAGGGCGGCGTGTTGAAGCGTGGGAGGTCAAAGGCGTCTTTGAATTTGCTTGCGGTCTCACGGGACACTGGGGAGCCACACAGGGTGGCTGTGCAGCAGATGATGTCGATGGGTGGACGTTGGCCGACGGATCCGCGACTTGCGCACCAACAAAGCCAGCAGCGCAGCGCAGTGAGTAGCAGGCTCGGCGATACGTTTCAACAAGAAGAAAGAAAAAAACCAGAAGGCAGAGCTGGGACGAGTGGCGGATCAAATATTGGCTTTGTGCGAGGGGTACACCCATGGTAGATGGTGCACTGCCCGGCCGTCGTGTACGGCTTTCTAGATGAGGCCTGGCTTGCGGGATTTTCGACATGTTTTATTTTGTACGCCAGTGGTTGCGAGAGCCAGTTGACCGCTGCGTGAGATTTGCAGCGGCCGCCAGCTGCGGGCCATGGGCCATGGACAATGGGCCATTGGCCAAGGCACTGGGTCGCTGGGCCGTGGCCGACAGCTGTTGCAAGCCGACGGCACTGAGGTTAAAGGCGACGACGCATTGCTAACCTCATACTTGTGGACCGCGGATGGTCCACCGAAAACTCTGCCAAGTACTGGGCTGGCCCACGCAATTAGGGATCAAGAGAGCCAGCCGCTTTTGTCGAGATTATCAGATAGTAGGTACATGCTATGTACATACATGGACACAAGTAACCACGCAAGCACAGTGACGCCACTGCCCTTCGCAGCCCTGTCTGTCCCGGAGCATGTCACCAGCATCGTCACCATCATCAGCATCATCATCATCATCATCACAACCACTTGGATTCAGGCACAACCATGCCGCCCTGAATTCCGAGTTCGTCCGATAGCCGTTGGTGGTCGAGTAATTCCGCTTGGATCTACAGTATATATGACGTGCCGACAATGACACTTGTTTACATATTACAAATTAGGCCACAAGAAGCGCAGGTCTGCTTCCAACCCACGCCCATGTCGACACCAACATACGAGGACCCTGTTCTCTGATACTCGTCTCCCTTTGTCCCCATTAGTCTTCCTACTTACATACTATATACGCAGCCATGCAGCCACACTCACACAAACACGGTGCCGGCCTCGTCCAAGCATCCGCCATTGCCATGGCACGCGCGCAGCCAAGCGAGGGGCTGTACGATTAGCAACCCCCGCATCTCAAGGGCGTCGACATGCACACCGCATTTCGCTACACAAGCCAGTCGCAGCCCCCCAGCTCGCAGGGCCTGTCGACACGACAAAGCCGTTGGTAATAAACAACTGTCCGCCACCCCACCACGACGGTCTGACCACTCAACACGCGCACACCGGGGCCTGGCACGCCTGCACGGCCATTGTGATAACTGGCGACGGGCGACGGGCGACGGGCGACGGGAGTCGTTGCATGCAGCTTGCCTTGTGCACGGCCCTGTAATGCTTCCGTCGCCTTGGTAAGAACCGTTGTCTTGGGGCGCTGCAACGTGACCGGCCCGGCCCAGCCAAATGCCACATAGTCAGATACATACATCCAATCCACTACTCACATAGCTACAGGAAGCACCTCGTCTGCGTTTGTCAGCCATGGCCAGCGTGACGGAAAGAGGAAAAAATTGGTCACGGCCACGTCTAGTCTCCACGACTGAGACACGGCTGGCAGTTGGTAGTGGCCAGATGCATGTCTTTTTATTTTTATTTTATTTTTTTTGCCTCGGCATGAGGCATAACCGCGCTTGTTCCTTCTGCACTTGGCCTTGATATTTGCCTCCATTTGCCTGCTCAACCATCGGCTGTTTTGTACCAATCGCTCCTTCCGTGATGACAAACTCACAAACCACTCAACAAGTTTTTTTTCCTTCTCCTTCTTCTTTCCATACGTCGCATGTCCACACACCACCCAAGCCACGGTCCCTGTGCTACCTTCACACCCAACTCACACGTAGCCGCCCACCCCCACTACAATTGCCCGATCCCATCCCATCCTCCGCATTTAACATTGCCTGGACCCTGTTCCAAGACAACCAAGCCCTGGGCCCATATTTTACCATTTGTGTATGGTAGCACCCGTCCGTTCCCAAAAAAACCCCTTGCCTCACTTTTCTGCTCACGGCAGTCGCACGCGAAAGGTACGGGCAGGTCGGGCAACCCGGTGCAACGGGTAAAAGAGTCGTGCCCGCGTATAAGTAAACAGTGGGCCGATTGGCCTGCATGTGTACAAAAATGGATAGTGGGCATGATTGGTTAGAGCAACACATTGCACACCGAGCGTTGGATACTCAGACACACATACCGTGTTTGTGCATGTGTAGTGTTGTACCGTCTAACAACAATATCCTTCATACCCATTCTCAACGGCTGTTCCTGCCATCTCCCACCTTCTGCCACCCCCGCATCTCCTCGCCCCCCTCTGTATCCTCCACAAAAATCCCAAAGTCAACCTTTGTCTTCTTGCTTCCCTTTTGCCCATACAGCTCCTTCTCCAGCGCCTCCGTGTCCGCCCTTACAAGCTGCTTCTCACAGTATCCCGTCCGCTGTCTCGCCGCCCTCGCCATTGCAAACGCTGCACGTAGAGGCGTCATACGATATCCCATCTGCACGAGCGTACTACCGTGCTGCGAATCCAGCCATAGTATGTACATGCTTACCACCCACGCTGAAGTCACAAAGACAAAGAGACCGGATAGCAGTGTCGAGAAACCCCATTCATAAGACGGGTGCGCAGTGTCGGGCAGACAACGCGATTTTCCCTCGAGATACGTCTCGTTGTAGGCGATGGCCTGGTGGCAGTAGCCGAAGTTTGTAACGAGGTCCTGTGCGTCGTACGTCTTGTCCTTGATGGTTACAGGTACGGTCGAGTTGCACGAGTAGGTTTTACGTGAGTTGCGGTCGGGGTAGTCGACGTCTTCGAATGTCTGTGTGTTGGACGTGAAGTTGTAGATGCCTGGTGTTGCGCAGTTAGCGGTGCTGACAAAATGGTGCAGATGGGGGTGTTTAAACTTACAGCCCAAGCTCATAACTTCGTAGAACTGAGCAGTGCGCCCCATTTCATTGATCTCTTTGCCGGAGTACCTTGTTCCGTTGGGAACCTGACAGTCACCTGCAACAAACATCTGTTAGCCCCCCCCGTCACTGATGTCACCTCATCTCGCATCGGCCTATACTTACACATTTCGAGCCGCTGACCCATAAACCACGAGTACTTGTCTTTCACCTGCGTATCCACACACGCTGGCTGGGCAAACGTCTCATTCACTGTCCCCTTGACCATCCACGTCTTCTTCACCGATGACGCCGGCACAATATTGTCCACACCCTCGATATCAATCCACGCCACAGACGTAGCATCGTATCCCGTCATGGCACCAATCACAATCGGCAAGGTGACGATATACGCCGTAGACCACAGCATGTAGAAAAACAACGCCTTGGTCCTCTTACTCTTCGCCGCCCACAACTCAACCATCAACGTCGCAATCGACGTCAACTTGGGCCCCTCGAGCGCTATCCGCTGAAACGTAATAAACGACGCAGGATGCCTCTCAATCGACTTGAGCAGCGCATTGCAAAAAATGATATACGACGCCCACGACGCCAGCAGCTGCAAACCACGTCCGATACCAACGTCCCACGCAATGTCAATGGCCTTGACCTGCGAGAACGTGTACTGCCCAAACGTCGTGTCGAGCGCAAACACCTTTTCCATGCCTGTGATTGTCGAGTTTGCGGGGCGTCCGCCGATACTGCCGCCGCAGGAAATCACTTTATCGAGGAAGAGTGAGGAAAAGGGGGCGCGGCCTGCGTAGGGCGGTGATGTAGCTTCTCCTAGGATAACGAGCGGGACGACTGCCGTGGCGAGAACGAGGGTGAAGGCCAAGATGTGGTTTCTTGTCTTGGACGTCCATTTCCAAAAGGAGGATTTGGCGACGGTGTCCGCTGTCTTTTCTTGAGGCGTGTACATGGTATCGTTGGGCACGAGGTTGTCGGTTGAGGGGACGGATGCAATAACGAGTCTCTCCCCCTCTTTCTTCCCCACGCTGTTGCTACCGCTTGTGTCCATGGCTTGTGTGTGTGTGTGTGTGTGGGGGGGGGGTGTTTTGGACTTCACGATATGCGAAATACACACACACCGCCAAGTGCTCAATCGTAGTGCCGAACAACACTAATGCTTAGCTCTCGCAGCGGAACAATAGACAAATCAAATCAAACTCAATACAAACTCAAAGATACAGAACAAGAAGTAAGAAAAAAAAAGGGAGACATCAAGATACGTATACAGCTACCAAATTGCTAAATACAGCATCCCCCCCCCCCAGCGCAGGACGCCTGAAAAAGCGGAAAATTGTCTTGGTATTACAACCAGGCCATGTCACCTTTCTTCCCATTAACGGGCCGAGTCCCTACAGAATGCAAATTTCCCCTTGCTTCCTTCCTTCTTCCCCCCCCCCCCCCCCCCCCC